CTTAGGAACTTCCCCGGGCGGCGGCGGCGGGAGATGGCGGCGTGGGCGCCTCTTGCGTGGAGTCACACTGCCATCTGCTGGCCGGCCCGCAGCACTGCAGCCCTGGCCGCCGCGCCTGAACTTCGTCGGCACTGCCGCGGGCTGGGCGCCCCACTCCCGGAGCCCGCGAGGCCCGGTCCCGGGGGAAGGGAGGGGCGGCGTCGGGGGGTCTGCGTGGGTCCGGAATCTGCGCTGCCGAGCGGGCAGTGCCCATAAAAGAGAGCTGTTTCCGCAACCGCTTTATCGGCGGCAGACAGAGCAAACAAATGAAAGGGCTTTGGTGGAAAATCTTAATTGGGGCTGGACAGTTGTAAACTCATTAAGGGCCGAATTCCAGACGGTTCGCAGACCCGGCCTTTATGGCGCACCCTGCGTGCCCATTCTTTGAAGTCCCTTCTGTCTGCAACAACACAGGGCGTCCAACCTGGCGGCGGGGTGGGGGTGGGGTGGGGGTGTGAGGGGCGCCCCATCCCCGGCGCGGCGCCCTGGTTCCCCTTTTACGTGTCCGAATCCAGATACCTTTGCAGAAGTCGCGGGGGGATGTAGGGGAGGGGCGGGAGCAAGAAAAGAAAAGGGGGAGATGAGGCCGAACCCTCCGGTCACATCTAGAAGGCGCTCGGGCTCCGAGGCTGTGCCGTTCCCCGCAGCCCTTTACACCCCATAAACAGTAACAGCCCTCATTTTCTTTTATGGCGCTCCGGCTCCTCGCTTGCCTGGGCCCTGCCTCTGCCAGGACTTGTGCTCGGGGAGGGGCGCGCGGATCAGAGCCCAGCACCCCCGGGCCTCCTGCCGAATAGGAGGTGGGGGTGCAGGGGCGCAGGCCTACGTCTCCGGAGAGCTTGCGAGCTCCCAAACATCTGTTCCCGAAGCCACGTTGTTGGGGCGATCGGGCTCCCGTTTCCCTCCTCGGAGACTCTTTAGAAAGCAGGCCCTCAGCTCGTGGTCCCACTGCCCCCACGCCTCCCCCCACCCTCCCAGGGAAGTCCTTGCAGTCTCCGTTTGGGCAATTCTTGGGGCGCCAAGATGGAAGAGTGGTGCTGGCCAGTGATACCCCAGATGCCAGCCCAGCTCCTCAGAG